CCCCCTTGAGGGTTTTGAAGCCCCTTGTAAAGTTTCGACCATGACAGTTCGGTACAAATTTGTACTGATAATAAATAATCTCACTTATGATGTTGGAAATATTGCATCGTCAACCTTAGAATATATCCTCTTATCTAGTGCACATGGCCTCAAAATTTCGTTACATTCGCCGTTGACTGATGGTTCAGACATTTGTACATTCTAAGGGAGTCGAAGTCCTGGTGTAGTGTGCTGAGATTACTCTGTTTGGAAGGGTTACACTGGATAATACCCTCCCCACACCACGTCTGTCCCGGACCGCGGTTCAAACCAAGGACATAGTATGTGAGATATGTGCATTACCTTTGTACCACCAATATTCGCCAATATTTATTGATCTTCGCCTTATACCATCATACGTCATTGTGTCATTATCAATGTGTGGGACGAGCCGAGCGACGGTGAAACTAATTGAGTTTCCCATTCTCCGTTTTCTTTGTTTATTACCTTCACAGAAAACCACGATCACTATAATGTTCTGGGGTAAATCCGTAGAATTTTGGCCACACACACACACACACACCAGGGGCGGATCCAGTCCTATAAAAGGTGGTGAGGGGGGGGTCCCAAGATGTTATGGGTGGGGAAACATGGCGAGCACAGCGAGCAACACCCAGCTGGGGATCTTTGGGGAAGGGGCGCTGTAAGCCCCCCCCCCATTTTATATATATTTTTTAATCTGACCAATATTATGGGCATTTTGAGGCCATTTTGAAGCCACATGCACTTGATATTAGGAGATGTTCGGAAGTCAATAGTACAGTAATCACTTTTACTATACAAAAACACCTGAGTACAATACTGCATTAAAGAAAAAATATTGGATTTTTCTGATGAAAAGGGGGGGGAGGTCCGGAACCCCTGGATCCGCCCCTGCACACACACACACACACACACACACACAGTAAGAAAGTTAAAAAACACACACATTAGGCTTCCATATTCATTACGAAGCGCAGGACCACACTAATGAGGGAAGTGTTTATTGGTAGGCAGTCGGTCAGTACTGTAGTGAGGCGTGGAATTACCTCAGTACCATATGGCGGCCACGAAGGTACTTTCTCCCTCACATAACCATACTCGTCAGGAGGCGCTGGGCAACCACAGCCGTCATCACTCTACCACCAACTGTCTACCTTAACACCATCTGCGCCTGGTGTTACGTGTCTGTCTTTCTCTGTCTGTCACGTGTGGCGACGTTTACCACACATCTCACCTCAACACATTAAACATGGACACGATTTCTTTAAGGTTATTACATATTCTTATTTATTATTATTATTATTATTATTATTATTATTATTATTATTATTATTATTATTATTATGATTATTGATATTATTACTATCGTCTTCATTATTTTTGTTTTGCGATTATTATTATTACTGCTATTATCAGTAGAAGTAGTATCAGTAATAGTACTAGTAGTAGCAACAGTAGTAGTAGTAGTATAAGTAATAGTAGTAGTATCAATATAAAAAAAAGTAGTAGTAGTATCACTTATCTACCTATTTTCACTTTCGCCCTAAAATCTCCATACAAGATTAGTGTGTGTGTGGTGATGTAGGCAGAGCGAGCGAGGTTCCCGACCATCGCTGCGGTGGTCAGTCCTCTACACAAATTATCCATGCACATAATAAGAAGCTTGGCCTCTTGTAGTTGTTATAGATGGTTCAATGGCCAGGGGTACTCGCACCAGGCTATTTCCAGGCCCAATACTGCTCTTGGTTCCACATTCTGGGCTGATACTGTTCCTTTGGTCTACCACTCACTGTGTGAACTAGTAATTCGTCCTGCCTGACTCCTTGAAGTGGTGTCCCCTCGTGTTGGTGGTACGTGACATCATGAAAAATGGCCCGGGTTTACGTCTATCATTTCTTTCAAGGTTTTGAATGTCTCTATGAGATCTGCGGCATTGCCTCTAGTGTCCCACTGTCAGAAAGAGTCACTGGTCACGTCACCTCTTGCTTGTATGATATGGATGTACAGTCAACCAAAGATGCACTGACTCCACCCTGGGTCTTGTACTCGCAATTTTACCTGGCAGTACTTGGTAAAGTAAGACTGTATGTAATGGTGATTGTGACTGGTGGATCTGTTTTCGGCTGTATCACTGTCAGGATAAATATCAAACAAACCAAAGGTAATATTTTTATAATAAAAAACTATTCATCGTTATTTTAGATCATGAGAAGTTTCCAAATATTCGTATATTTGCTTAAATAATGAAGAGAATTTGATATAAGAATTTTTTGGCAGCTGTGGTTGTAGTTGAGTAGCCAGTTTATTAATATAATTTTCTTCATTATCAGAGCGCTTACAACTGAGTAGGTTATACCACAGTCGAGTGTCCATACCTGGTGCTGGCGGACGCTCACCCTACAAGGGGCACAGCTCAAGGTTGAAGAAACCGCAACTCCAGAAAACTGTGAGGGCAAACTTTGTCGGAGTGAGAGTTGTGAACTCGTGGAACAACCTGCTAGAGAGTGTTGTGACGACACCGAGTGTGAGCTCTTTCAAGACAAGACTTGACCAACACTGGAGTAGGTTCAGATACGTTCAGGAGCCAGTTCATGCCCAGGTCTTGCCAACAGAGAGTAACAGAGACGTGACCGATCGCCCAAGCGGCTAACGAGCCGACCAGTAGTGAAGAGGATAAAAGTAAAAGTAAAAGTGAGGTGTTATGCAGCTGGTGTAGCCCTACCAAGCCTTATTTACAGGATACAGTACTCCAGTGTTCTCCTGTACTAACACCAAACAATAAAGTTTGTAACAAATAGAAGCCCCACCATTAGAAGGGACAGTAAGCTGATAAGTGGTAAAATAACAGAGGTTAAGTCGGGCTTAATACAACCGATACTCCTTCAACACGGGGCTGTACTTAAAAATTTTCTTTGATTAAATTCTTTACGCGAGAAAACATACAGCTATAACTAAAACAAATGTAGATGGTAAAAAAAAAACTCGTTTCTGAATTCGTGAGTCTAGGATCATAGTGACCTCATTGGAACACAGAAATTACGTAGAATTTCTTGGAGTTTCATAATAATGGAGTTTGCTCTATCCAATGACACCCCCCCCCCCCATCTACTTGTTAAACCTCAAACTATGTTAATAGAGTAAATACATGAACAAATTAGTATACACACACCAGTAACGCGGAAGAAGGACGGTAATTAAGCCAAGAGAATGGAGTGTTAAAATACAACATTTCTCACACCCGGAAACCAGTTCAGTAGACGACCATCACCGGCCAACTGAGAGGTGTGTTGTAGACTGTGTGACCGCCTGGAGGAAGCAGTGGTAGTGGTGATGGTTGTGGTGATGTGGTGGTTGTTGTGGTAGTGGTGATGGTTGTGGTGATGGTTGTGAAGTGAGTGAGGGTTATTGACTTATTGTGGTGGTGGTGATCGTTGTAGTGTTGTTAATGAGAGCAATTGTAATGATGATAGTAGTAGTAGTAGTAGTAGTAGTAGTAGTAGCGATGGTATTGGTGATGGTAGCGGGAATTGTGACGCCTGTGGTCCCATGAAGAAAATGGCGTTGTCTCCCCCCACCCCACACTCACTCCTCTTCCTGCATTGTGTGGCTTACCAATAGAGTGTGTGTGTGTGTGTGTGTGTGTGTGTGTGTGTGTGTTCGTCCGTCAATTAGAGGAACATAAGCTGTGGAAAGGCATCTAAAACCACTCACTCTCACCCCCACCCCCTTCTGTCTGTCTGTCTGTCTCACACACACACGCTCAGCCTACCTGTGGCGTGTAATTAATGAATTTACTCTGCAAACTTCGCGGTAGAAAGCGTAAAGTAAACTATCCTTCCCAGGTAACTGTTGACACTACCCGACCACGACATACAGTCCCGTCAATCACTTCCCCACTGGTTTGGTTAGGTTAGGTTAGGTTAGGGTATGAAAAATTTGATTTGTTTAATCTAACCTAACCTATACTTGCTGCTATATTTTGCTGTTGTTACCAGTAATACAAGTACCACAAACATGACTGCCAGACGAACAAAAAAGATTTTTAACCTCACATCTGAGTTGATCAAGGCAACAACATATTGCACTTATGAGTAATTGAACCATTCTGTTATTACCTCATTTAACGTAGGATTTGCCGAATAAACTATAATAATTGTATCACTGTTTACATATCTTTGAGGTGTAGACGGCTCCTGGCGCCACCATCATCGCTGCCAGACGGAGGAGGAGTTACACACTTTATCAACACCGACACAATATACTGTAGACCTGAAAGAGGAGACAGCTGGGTGACACTCCCCTGCTTGGACGGTGTGAAGGAGAAGAGTATTATGAACCGGAATTACGGCGTCTGGCAGTACTTTATGGGGGGGTGGGGGTTTGGAGGGAGGGGGGTGATAATCAACTCTGTAATGTACTATAAAACACGAGAGTTGTGCGTATGTATGTATGTATGTATGTATGTATGTATGTATGTATGTATGTTTATCTTCATCTTCGCCAGAACGAGCGTGTTTAGATAACTTCATAGGCTTCAGTTTTACTCAATCAATTCCCTAACCTAACCTAACCTAACCTAATCTAACCTAATCTAACCTAATCTAACCTAACCTAACAAGAGTATTTATTAGACCAACAGACTTTGGAGGAAGTGGAGGTGGAGGGAGGAAGATAGAGAGAGATGGGAGGAGAAAGGCAGGGGAAGGCGGAGGGGAAGAGAGAGAGAGATAAAGAAAAGGTAAGGAGAGGTGGAGGGAAGTAAGGAGAGGGGCGGGTGGGAGGAGAAGGGAGAGCGTAGGGATAGGAAGAGGTAAAAGGACCCAGTTTGGAGGCCAGCTGACGCATCACACCCCCCCTACCCAAGACCTACCTATTACCATAACTACGCCGCTACACCGCATAAAGAAAATAAATTAAACAAACGGCAATTTTCTCCTAACTTTCGCTGGCAGGACGGGGGAGTTGTGTCAGAGCTCCGTGACTCCCACCCCTCAGTTGATCTGCCATCCTCGGAGTGTGTGCGTGGGTCCTCCTTGCCTATAGGAAATGGAGGGTTGTTGGCAAAGAATCAAGGTAACTCACCATATACAGACAGACAGGTAAACATACACACAGCCGTTCTCTCTCCAAGTCATGATCGAGAAAGGCCCTCCAGTTAATCGGAGTTCGTGGGTTAAGTGACTCTCGGGGAATAGTTTATATTTGTGGCTAAACTGTGTAAGTGTGTGTAAGTAAGATGTACTTGACAACAGGGATGGGCTATCTTCTCTACAGTGTACAAGATGTGCCCCTTGCCTCTGTTCACGAATCCATCTTGATACACTCCCGGCTACAGAAAGACTCGGTGTGTTACTTCGTCTCTGTGATGTTAGGAGCTGGTGAGTGGCCGTGAATCTCGTCGTCACTATTTATCGCGAGAATTATTATCGTGAGATTTGTCCCAGCTTACTACTGTACTTCCCGAGAAACCGAATGATATTGTGATAGTAATCCTTTTGGAGCTTCACTTCTGCCGCTTACATAAAGGCTTCAGAGCATCTACAGGACCACGACACTGTATATTGAACTAGTCCAGCTGTCTCAGGCCATAACCAACATCGTATGTAAACAAAATCTTCATGACTGCTGCTACACGTTCATCACACGCTGCCGGAGTGTCACCCAGGGTTGGACACCTCGATCCTGGGCAACGACACATTACCACGCCCACATCTCGCTGTAGAGGAGGGGCGCTGGAACGGACGAGGCAGGGGCCGTCTGCCCATTGAAGAGAGATTGTGTTCATGTGGTGTTATTCACTCTAAATGGCATGTTGTTGAAGAGTGCCTCCGAACAGTAGATATACGCCATCAATCTAGTATTTCAACCTTTGTAAATTTACTATCTTAAAGAACGGATTATGAAACTGTTTGTCGTGCAGGTCATCGAATACTTCCTGTACTATATAGTTACAAGTCACAGGGACACATGCACCAATACCCACAACTGTTGTGTATGTTTTAGTTTATTTTACTTGTTGTTATTTTGTTACTTTATTTACTCGTGGGTTTCCTCTGTTTTGTGTTACTGGTTGAATCAGTGAACTTTTATTAATGTTTGGTGTTTTAAAGCATTGCATTTGGACCAGTTTATGTAAAACTTTAGTGTAAACTTTGTATTTATAATTTGTGGTCAATAAAATATCTATCTACTGACGGAGGTGTTACACTGTGGTGACCTACACTAATGATTCTCGTGAATTATACTGACGATAAAACATAACATTTGACCTGTTATAACCCAAAGCCGCGGGAGAAATGGTTGTACTGATGTTAGTTATCTTCCACGACACAAGGACAATGGTCGGCTGATGTTGTTTATCGTTTAATATAATGTAATATTATCTCTCCGTCAGTGTAGCTGCTGATGAAGTACTCTCAACTAATAAATGTGTGAGTGAGTAAGTCAGTCTGTCAATATTAGCATTCATAGAGCTAACTGACGCAACTCAAAAAAATAGACACATATCTCCCATCGATGGATAAATCGCTTCACTCACCACACAACATCACAACACCTACACGTGTCCTCTGATTAGCGATTTATCTTGGTAAAGGTCACGGTGTTCTCGTCTCACCCAGGTAGTATTGTGACCCGTCAGCCTCACAGGTCAAAGGTCATTGTCTAGAGTGACGAAGACACTGTATATATATATATATATATATATATATATATATATATATATATATATATATATATATATATATATATATATATATATATATATATATATATATATATATATATATATATATATATATATATATATATATATATATATATTTCTTTAATGGGTTTGAAGAGAACCTTGTCCACTTAGGGTTTCAATGTAATGTTGGAGCCATATTGTATTTTGATTAGTGTTTCAGAGAGAGAGAGAGAGAGCTTAAGTTAGTTAGATGCATTTTTGTGTCTTAAGTCTAGCGAAAAATTTGACGTAGGAATCTCTGAGAAACAAGATCCCGTTCAACTAAGACAACGCTTTCATCATCGTGTACAAGCTAAAACAAAGCTTTCATCTTCATGTACAAGCTAAGACAAAGCTTTCATCGGCATGTACAACAATATCCAGCAGTGTATAATTATTGTGCATATGTTTGGAAAGTTCGACCACTGAAAACTGTGTGTGAGGTGAACCAGCCACACTAGCCCCGTCCACACAACTCATCATAGTTCTGTATTTAGCCAGATGGAAACGTCACCGCAGACCCATCGTGAAATTGATGTTTATATGCAGGGCAACCAGCTGGGGGAGGGAGGGAGGGGTGGGTAGGGGAGGGGAGGGAGGGAGGTGAGAGGTAGGGGAGGGAGGGAGGAGAGGGGCGGAGGGAGGGAGGGAGGGAGGTGAGAGGTAGGGGGAGGGAGAGGAGGGGCTGCTGTATTACTTATCAATTGATGGCTAAAAGTTTTTGTCCTAAAACACACACACACACACACACACACACACACACACACACACACACACACACACACACACACACACACACACACACACACACACACACACACACACACACACACACACATACACACACACACACAGACACACACACACACACACACACACACACACACACACACACACACAGACACACACACACACACACATACACACACACACAGACTCTACCCTAACTACATACATTAAACACATATTCACTTATCACACCTTTGTCAATCTGTACTCTGGATGATACAGTGAGATAATATTTTCAAAGCCTAACCTAACCTAACTTAAACTAACCTAACTTAACCTAACCTAAACTAACTTAACTAAAGCTAACCTAAACTTAAACTAACCAACATTCTCAAAACCTAACCTAACCTGACCTAACTTATCCAAACGTATCCTAACAAACCAACATTCTCAAGACCTGACCTGACCTGACCTGACCTAACCAACACTCACAAGACCTGCAGGAACCCCATCTGTCACCCTTGGGCCGGTCACTCCTCCGTCAGTATCACCCGGTAAGGTCTCCTCCCTCGGCCACGCCCACGTCACTATCACTGTAATGGGCGTCGTTGGCCTTCATCTAATAATATAGACGTTACTGAAGTGTTATGGGCGTGATAGGCGGCCGTGACGTTCCCAACACAAAACTAAGACTAACCTAACCTTCTTTACCTAACCTAATTTAATCTAGCCAAATCTAACTTAAACTAATCTGGTCTCACCTAATCTAACATAACCTAACTTAATTTAACCTTAACCAAACCTGAACTAACCTAAACCAGCCTAATTTAACCCAACCTAAACTAACCACACACACACACACACACACACACACGCGCGGTCTGCTACAGTACGGTTCATCTGATGACAGGTGACGGTTCATCTGATGACAGGTGACGGACCATCTGATGACAGGTGAGGGACCATCTGATGACAGGTGAGGGACCATCTGATGACAGGTGAGGGACCATCTGATGACAGGTGAGGGACCATCTGATGACAGGTGAGGGAGTAGGGTAGTCTCTGGAGGTCTACCTTGGGTTTATGTCTCACTCGGCCATCGTGGTATCTTGGAGTCCTGGTGGCCCTCACACTCGACCTGGCTATCTGACGCTGCTACCACCACCACCACCACAACATAGCCACCACTACCACCACCGCCGTTACCACCACCACCACCACCGCTGCCATTGCCACCACCACCACCACCACCACCACAACTCGCCGTTACCACCACCACCACCAATCGCCGCTACCACCACCACCACCACTCGCCGCTACCACCACCACCACCACTCACCGCTACCACCAGCATCACCTCGCCACTACCACCACCACCACCACCACCACCCTCGCCACTACCACCACCACCACTCACCGCTACCACCAGCATCACCACTCGCCACCACCACCACCACCACCACCACCACCACTCGCCACTACCACCACGACCATATACCACCACAGCACCACCATCATCAAAATCATCCCCCCCAAAACACAACACAACACAACACAACTCTTTCTCCCAGGACTATTTTAATGATCTGCGTGATGTGTGGGTGTGTGTGTGTGTGTGTGTGTGTGTGTATGTGTGTGTGTGTGTGTGTAAGCCTCTTGAGTACAATGAGTTTAGTCTATCTCTGAGCACATTGACTTAGTATAGTTAAATAATTATCCCTTGAGTACGATGAAATGGACCCCTGAGTATGGTGAATTAGCAATTGAGTACGATGATTTAGTCTCATGAGTACAGTAAATTAACACAGTTTGATAATCCTTGGAGTATGATTGATTTCAACTTGAGTACAATGAATTAGAATTATAAGATAACTATTTGAGTACTGTACAATGATTTGACCCTCTGAGTACGATGTCATATCATTTAACTCACTCAAGGTCATTGTACTCAAAGGGTTGTACTTAAGAGGTTAATTTATCGTACTCAATAGATTTAATGTTTTACTCAATGGGCGAAATCATTGTACTCATAAGGGGGGAGGGGGGAGGTAACACCGTACTCAGTTTCAAGGGCCAAACAACACCACTAAACTAAAAAAAACAAAAACAAAAGAAGGTAATATTTTTTCCCGCCAAAATTCTCAAAGCGGAACAGAAGCCACAACTCCGGGAATCAAGGACGAGACGCATTATTTATCACACTCCATCTGGATATTCGCAAGAGAAAGCTTTACACCTAGTTCTAAATCAATCCATTAAGTCTCTATCAAGTTATTTAACGTAGGTGTCATGACGGACGGATGGTCGAACTCAATTTGTCAATACTCAATGGCGGGCAGACGGGAAGCGGAGGACGAAGGAAATTAGAGCTAAGACGGGGATCCATCAAGTCGATCTATAAATTCTGAAAGCCGCAAAAGACGATTCATAAATTCTGAAAACCGCAATAGACGATTCATAAATTCTGAAAGCCGCAATAGACGATTCATAAATTCTGAAAGCCGCAAAAGACGATTCATAAATTCTGAAAGCCGCAAAAGACGATTCATAAATTCTGAAAACCGCAAAAGACGATTCATAAATTCTGAAAACAGCAAAAGACGATTCATAAATTCTGAAAACCGCAAAAGGCGATTCATAAATTCTGTAAGGTAGCGGTGAAATAAATCGCCGGCGGGTCATGAAAACAGAGGTGGTGACAGCGTGTTTACATAGGAACACTCAGCCTCTACTCCCCACCCCACTGTCTCACACCTCAGCGGGATGTACCTGTCTTGTATTTTTCAAGTGACGTCTTAACTCGATGTCTTATTTATGTCTTAAAAGGGTCGTGGCTGGGCGAGTTGTCTTGAGAGAGAGAGAGACAATGTCGTGACGATAAAAAATCTTACTCTTGCTCTCACTTTCCCTATTAGACCATATGGTGTCAGTCAGTCCGTCCGTGCTCCGCCCCACCCCGCCCTTCCAGACACATGCACCCACCCACACACACACCCATCCCTCACACCCAAACACCCACCCATCCCTCCCAAAACCCACACACACCCTTCCTGACTGACTAATACAACAAACTAGATAAAGGTACCAATGTTTTCGTCAGGACCGATAATGAATTCCGAATCCCACAAGAAGTCAACAAACCCAGAGCATCTTGGGTAATCAGAGGAGATGACACACTGACTACCTGAATAGACTGTGTCAGAAGGGGGTGAGATGAGGTCCATATTGATATCTTTTTGGGGAGGAGAATCTAATTAATGATTTATTTGGTTTCGTTTCATCAGCGTGTTGTTGTTGTTGTTGTATTAATGTATTTCGATAGGTTTAGGATCTTGAGTTTTTGTTTCTGTATTAGGTATGACGTCCCCCTCAGTTCACTCATCCGTCCCTCTCAGTTCACTCATCCGTCCCTCTCAACTCACCCATCACCTACCCAGCTCACTCATCCATCCTACCCAGTAATCTACCCTTCAACGTCCTCTCTCCTCCCCTATCGTTATCTACTCCCCACAGCCTCTACGAACAACGAAGATAAAGAGTAATTGAGGGGGTTGGTCGTACGTCAGGCAGGGAAGATAATGAGACGCATCTTGTGGTAAATACAACTATGTACTGTACGATAAGTTGATGGGCTGAGAGAACATGTGTGTATATATAGTGTGAGTTTAATGTTATCGGTTCAGTGTTTATCAGTAGTCAAGGTGTAGTGTGTGTGTGTGTGTGTGTGTGTGTGTGTTTGTGTGTGTGTGTGTGTGTGTGTGTGTGTGTGTGTGTGTATGTGTGTGTGTGTGTGTGTGTGTGTGAAAGATATAAGTGCAGTAATGTTTAAAGGGACCTGTTCTGCTTCTTCCAACATGCAACAGCTTAAAAACTTTTAGTCTCGCCACTCACACACCAGCTGACTGAGCTCTACCGGCCACAAACTGTTGGGTTGAACAAATAATAAAAGTATATTTAAAACATTTAAACCATCAACCCAGAATTTCCCGGAAAACTGAGGTCTCTCACGTCAGGTTTTATCACGCTAAAACGTCATTAAACTTTAGAATCTTTAGTTAACAATCTTTAAGACACAATTCTCCCAAGGAAATGACCCAAAACTGGGAAATATTAATACAAAATAATAATTATCCTCATAACAGCCCGAAATATGGATTAAGTTCATTTAATTTTACATAATATTAAACATTCAAACAGTTGTATAGTAATTAAGTGGGACGGACGTACAAGCGAACCGACCTACCCACAGACAGGTAAATCATGTCTAGGTTAAGGTAAGTCATGTCTAGGTTAAGGTAAGTCATGTCTAGGTTAAGGTAAGTCATGTCTAGGTTAAGGTAAGTCATGTCTAGGTTAAGGTAAGTCATGTCTAGGTTAAGGTAACTCATGTCTAGGTTAAGGTAAGTCATGTCTAGGTTATCTAAGTCATACAGTAAGTTAGGGAAAGGTAAATTATAAGTTAACAAGGTAAGTTAATTATGGCTTGGGGTTATGTTAACCTTCCTTTACGATAATTTATGTCCACCTTCGCCAACTCTAGCGACGATCTTTTAATGCTTTGGTTATCAAGCTTATAAACAAACGAAGAGGAGGCATAAGGAAGCTTGATGAGGGAAGGCAATATTTCAGTACAGTCTAAGAATAGATCCGGGGCCTGTTATTAAGAGGTTGGTGTGTGGTGATGTAAGAGTCGAGTTAGGTATTTCAAATGGTCTCTCTCTCTCTCTCTCTCTCTCTCTCTCTCTCTCTCTCTCTCTCTCTCACACACACACACTAGCAGGCACGTCTGTTACTGCCATGATGTATTACACACGTCTGGCGGTCCTGGATTTAGCTGTGTACTCTGATTGGTTACTTTACCAAGAGGGTTTACTCTGATTGGATGATTTACGAAGATGCCATTTTTTAAATTGGTTGTAATTAGACGCATTTACAACAGCTGAAAGTCAACGTTATATGTCTTTTCGTGATAATTTGTTCGGGCAGTACTAACGACTGTGAATATGTTGTCAAGTTTCTTACACGTTAGTTTGGTGTCATTACTGATATTAAGTCAAGATAGCTGGTTAAAGTAGAGTCTCAGTGTCATGTTGATGCCATTTGTTTAAGACTGACAACGATCGTCTGGTGGTGGTGTCGTCAAGGCATCTCGGCTGTATCACGGAATAATCTTTAAAGTTTTCTACTGTACATGATCATGACGTTGTTGATTAAATATAAGGAATCAAATTTATTGCAATTCTTTTGAATATTTGACAACAACCGACGAATACAGTACATTACATTTATAAAAGTTGGAATAACTTGTGGATGTGTTGTAATTATACAGTACCATAAGTGTTGAATAAATCACAGTAATGTATTCGTGACCTGGTGATGGCAGATAATCACAAGTGACTGTTTTGTTCCCAGGAAAGGCGATGGAAGTTGACCGGGGCGACGGTGGCGGCGCTGTGTGTGCTGGCTGCCGGGGCCGCGGCGCAGCAACAACTGGGGCGGACCACAGCCATCAGTCTCCCCCTGGGGGACACAGTCGATGACCTCACCTTCCCGAAATTCATCGCGCTGCCTGAATCTCCTGAGGATCTAGACAGCCTTGAAGATGTCTTACAAGCCCAACTACAGAAGGATCTTGGGGGTGATATCACGGGTGAAGAGTTTGATGATGATACTTCCTTGTTCAGACCCATGGGCGTGTTTCCACCACCCACAGCTATCAGCATCGACCCAGCTGGCATCAGTAGTGAGACAGTCGAACTGGATGACCTCTTTGACAATGATCCCGAGACCTTGGAAGTAGAATCTAAGGAGAATTTCAATACTGGATCGGATGAGACAGACTTCGTCGTTTTGGATGGGTTCTCCGTGACTGGAAATGGTGCTGTCACTTCTGGTGGTGTCCTGACGAGTGTTCCTCTGTCAGCCGCAGGGCCACAGGAACCTCAAATTATGCTCGAGTCTGCCAGTGACGCTGGCATCATCCTTGCATCTACAGGTCCTCAGATTCCTCAAGAAACAGGGATCACTCTTAGTGCGGCTGGTCCACGAGTTCCTCATGATACACTAAATTCCTTTGACGACTCTCAGCTACCAGGAGCACCTCTTGGGGTCGCCGTAGCCAATGTACTTGATCAGGAGACTGGTGGCCAAATTAGTGTGCCACTGGACGCTGGTCCGCCACAAGTTATTATCGAGGTATCACAGCCACTGGACCAAGGTGAAATATCCCATGAATTAGCAGCAGCACAGTTGTCCATTGCTCCCGAAGATGAGATCTTTCCTGATGTTCAGTCTGTTGGTTTACTTCCTACTGAAGTACCCAACACTGAATCCATTCCCACAGACGTGCCCTCCGTTGACCCTGTTCCAGCAGAAACAAGAGAGGCTGATTCACCTCCTGTACAAGAGTCAGCTGTTGATCCAGTCCCCACAGAAGCCCCTGTAACAGACGCAGCTGCAACTGAGACACCAGAATTTGTTCCAGAGGACACGATGGAAGCTGAAGCTGCTGACGCGGCCCCTGTAGCGGTAGCTACTGACCATACTCCTGCAGAAACACCTGTTAACCCAAGTCTTTCAGAGGCACTTGTTGACCCTGTTCTTGCAGAAGAACCTGCTGATCCGGCTCCCGTAGAAACACCTGCTGACCCTGTTCTTGCAAAAACACCTGCTGACCTTGTTCTTGAAGAAACTCCTGCTGACCCTGTTCTTGCAGAAGCACCTGCTGATTCTGTTCTTGCAGAAGTACCTGCTGACTCTGTTCTTGCAGAAGCACCTGATGACCCTGTTCGTGCAGAAGCACTTGTTGACCCTGTTCTTTTAGAAGCACCTGCTGACTCTGTCCTTGAAGCTGCAGGTAAAGAAGCTGAACTACCTGGAGGAGTTGAGTTTGAAGTTCCCATTAACACCTTGTCCGAGGAGCCAAGTCTGGCAGAAGTTGTTGATACTGTTCCTCCAGCGACAGTATTGTTAGATTCTCTGACTTCAGAAGCTGAAGTTCCTCCAGCAGTTGTAGTTGACACAGAGACTGATGTCACTGGCCTGGATGTAGAGACTGAACAAGTCATTACTAATATTGCTGATACTACTGCTGGTGAGCCCGTGGTGGTTCTGCCTGTTGCCCCGACAGGGACGGGAAGAAACGTCGACGATCCTTTGATCCCTGTAGTGGTGGTGCCAGAGGCTGCAGTACCCCTACAGGAGGACTTAATGGTCATGGAACCAAGTGGTTTTGGAGAAATGCTTCCAAAGGAGGAAGAGGCGGCGACTCGCGCTGGAACTGGAGGGATAGTGGACGTGGCTGCTCCCTTGGTACCAGTAGAGGAAGTTAATGCTGTTCCTGAGGAACCTACGGATTTAAATCCAGAGATCCAGATCATTACTGGTGGGGAATTACCGCCCATATCTGTCCAGGTAAGTCAGTGATGTCTTGCTTCCTCTCTAAAGCTCCACCACCGAGTCTGAAGCTGAAGTTTTTATGTGAGACTTTTCCAATCTTGACTAAAAATTTCAGTATCTTCCTCTGCAGGTCCTGTCCATCTTGGCTGCAGCTGTAGTCTTGTGGAAAACTTTCCAAAGTGACTGAAACAAACTTTTCAATCATTCTTGTAGAAACTTTCCCTCTGTGTGTGAAGCTGCTGACTACATGAACTGTGCCATCTACCCAACCATGCCTGAAGTAGGAGTTATTTTGCAGGACATGGGGAGGCTGGCGGAGATCATCGCAGACGACCCTGACACCGGGGAAGTGTTCGACGAGACGCCTCCAGACATTGTACCAGAGATTTCTGAGGCGGACCTCGAGAATTTCTTTGTTGCTGAGGACCCGGAGGTAAGGGTGTGTGTGTGTGTGTGGGGGGGGACGTGGTGAGTGGTGTATGGGAGGAGGAGGAGTGGATATCGATGACTGTTGAATCTAACTTCTGGCAGCAGTATATTTCCTGCTGGCGGCGTAAACGATTGAGTAGTCACCATTTATCGAGTTCGTGCCACATACCACTTCTCCTCCCACAGGCTACGGAGGGGGAAGAGTATGTACTGGGTGTGTCGGTACAGGAGGTGGTCCAACAGCTGCCTGAGGACCAAGTGAACCTCGCCGCCCTTCCGGACATCGCGCCCTTCACGCCCACGCAGGAGGGGCAGATCCCTGAGGAGATAGTGCAGGCGTCCTTAGATGCTCTGCAGGCTCAGATCGCTGCGTCCATGGGTGACTTTGGGTAAGGAAACACGAGGAGTTTGTTGTGTTAACTAGTCACGTATTATGTTAACTAGTCACGTGTTGTGTTAACTAGTCACGTGTTGTGTTAACTAGTCATGTGTTGTGTTAGTTAGTCACGTGTTGTGTTAACTAGTCACGTGTTGTGTTAACTAGTCATGTGTTGTGTTAACTAGTCACGTGTTGTGTTAACTAGTCACGTGTTGTGTTAACTAGTCATGTGTTGTGTTAACTAGTCACGTGTTGTGTTAACTAGTCACGTGTTGTGTTAACTAGTCACGTGTTGTGTTAACTAGTCACGTGTTGTGTTAACTAGTCACGTGTTGTATTAACTAGTCACGTGTTGTGTTAACTAGTCACGTATTGTGTTAACTAGTCACGTATTGTGTTAACTAGTCACGTGTTGTGTTAACTAGTCACGTGTTGTGTTAACTAGTCACGTGTTGTGTTAACTAGTCACGTGTTGTGTTAACTAGTCACGTGTTGTGTTAACTAGTCACGTATTGTGTTAACTAGTCACGTGTTGTGTTAACTAGTCACGTGTTGTGTTAACTAGTCACGTGTTTATCTACAGGCAAAAGATGCCAGAGGTTGACATCAGAGTCCCAGCTCCTGGTGCAGAGCCTTCCCCTGTTGTCTTCCCGGTCGACAGGCCAGCACCTGCCCCAGCACCTGTACGTGCACCTGCCCCAGCACCTGTACGTGCACCTGCCCCAGCACCTGTAGCGACACTTGCACCAGCCCCTAAACCTGTACCAGCACCACCACCTATAGCGGCACCTGCCCCAGCACCTGTACATGCCCCAGCACCTGTACGTGCCTGCTAGCACCTGTACATGCCCCAGCACCTGTACGTGCCCCCCAGCACCTGTGCGACACTTCCACCAGCCCCTAAACCTGTACCAGCACCACCACCTATAGCGGCACCTGCACCTGTACGCCTGCCCCAGCACCCTGTAAACCTGTACCCTGCACCACACCACCTATGGCAGCACCTGCCCCAGCACCTGTACATGCCCCAGCACCTGTACGTGCACCTGCCCCAGCACCTGTAGCGACACTTCCACCAGCCCCTAAACCTGTACCAGCACCACCACCTATAGCGGCACCTGCCCCAGCACCTGTACATGCCCCAGCACCTGCACCTGTACGTGCACCTGTCCCAGCACCTGTACGTTCACCTGCCCCAGCACCTGTACCTGCTCCGGTAAACATGTACGGAGGCCCTCCGCCCAGCGTGTATGGCCCACCAATCTCACACACGTATGGTCCTCCGCCTACGCCCACCAAGTCCTACGGTCGACCCTCCACCGTCAAGTACAAGCCAACCTCGTCCTTCAGGCCCTACCGTCCCCCCACCTCCCATGTCCACATCCAGGAGCCCAAACCAGAGGACTTTAGACCATACACTCACCCCAGGCCGGTGTACGGAGTTCCGCCTGCCCCCTCCTACAGACCCCGCCCTACCTCCTACCAGAGGCCTTCCCACATGCCTTCATCCTATGGCCCTCCCACGACGAAGCCATCGACTTACAAAGCACCGACGACCACCACCATGTCCTACTCCGCGACGACCAAGACACCGACGACCACCACCATGGCCTACTCTGTGAAGACCAAGACATCGACGACCACAATCAAGCCAAAGCCCTCATACAAGCCACATGAGCCAGCCACGACGACAACTGATAAACCTCATAAGCCACCCAAGCCAGTCCTGGCACCGTTGGTCATACCGGGACATCCCTACAGCCTCGTCCTGCCCGAGAAGCCCCGTGATGGACCCTACAATGCTTGGCCTCAAAGTACTGAATCTGGTGCCAGGCGGCCTCCGTCCTTCCGTTTTCGTTACCCATTCGGGAAGCCCTCAGAAAGCCGGAGGCAGAGGCTGGAGGTCCCTGACAGTGTGGTGCGTCTTCTGAACGCTGCCCAGCCGGAATGGGTCGCTGGACTAGAGCCTCAGCGCTGGTAGATCTTCACTCAAAAGCGAGCATTAACGACTGTCTGCAGAAGAGAACATAAGCCAGGTAGTTACGTTTACAGATAGTGCTCCGAGATACTCAGGTGTCGCCCACCGTCGGAACATAGGTTATGTTTACGTTGCCATAGACAAACACTCTTCCCTCACTGATGCATCACAGGAGGTTCTAAAAGCTACACATTTGCACAACAGAGAAAAATCTGGATTTGAATTCCTGAATCAGAACTAAACTCTCACGTCTAGTAGGACAAAGTTACAGTCCTATTGTCTCTCCCAGACCTCCGTGTGCTTCATGCTCAAGTCTTATAGCTTTAGAAGGTTAGTTAAAGTATTATTATATATATATATATATATAAAATATGTATTATAGTAATTAATGAGGGTATATAGTTTGTAGAGTATTGTTATGTTACTGTTCGTCTCTTAGATGTAAGCTGGGACCGTATCTTGTCTCTCGTGTGACACTTTCAACTACCGTACTCCGACGATGGGTCTGTCTCTCCTTCTCTCAGTCTCTTTGTTATCTCCCACCTTAGGCTTCTCCCCCCTCCATTACCTGCAAAACTCTCTCTCTCTCTCTCTCTCTCTCTCTCTCTCTCTCTCTCTCTCCCTCTCCATTAACCACACCACCTCTCTTCCCTCTTCACCTCCCCATCATCACATTTCCCAAAACCAAAAGAACAATTCACACGTTCATAAATAATGTATTTTTTTTAATATATTTATTGTATGTATTTTTATGAGAAGAAATAATACACATATTGTTGGTTATGTTCGTTGTTTCTGTTATTATATCCCACAACATAAGTTAAATACCTCACATTTGTTGACCTTGGAAATAATAATACTAACTAGATTACTGTGGGGGAGAGGGGGGGGATAACGACGATGATAAGACGATAACAAGACTACTACTACTATTACTACTACTACTACTACTACTACTACTACTACTACTACTACTACTACTACTACTTTTTTTTTACATTAATGGCCTCCAGCCTCCCCCAATAGCCATACCTTCGCCACCATTTTATTACCTTAATATTAAATATCCTAATACATAAGTAGCTATCCTAGCTGTGTTGAGCCGCAGATCTATGCAGCATTCAGTGACTGTAGCCTCATAGTCAATATCTGCAACTGTTGTCGGCTTTGGGGCCGTTGCTCTCGTTCCCCTGAGGCAGAGCAAAGCCGATCGAAGGAGAGAGAAGGACAGTCGACATCTCATCCAGGCTGTAACATAACTTCTGGGCTGCTGCTTCTGTTCGGAGATCAACTCCGCGAGTCTGGCGTAGAAGCATCTTGCACTTGGTCCCATCCCACCAGAGGTTGTGAACACTAGAGGAGTGAAGCTGCCTTGATCAACGTTCTGAATTCTCTCCCCGTATGCCCTTATCTTGTCGTTCTCGTTCCTCCTGTGTGCAGCATCGAGAGCTAAGTTACGGTGACATGCGGCCATGGGATCAAAAATCCTGATGTCAAAGAAGGCTCACTGTCCCCGCGTCCAGAATCCTCGAGCACTGACGTCAACACGGGCTTCGTTGGATGTGTTTGAAGTCCTATGTTGGAAAATCTCACCGTCCAATCGAAGGAGGGTCGGTTCTACCCTGACATCACGGGCAGATTTCCTTCAATATATTTGCTGTGAGATCCCTTACTTCGTCATGCCTCATGCACATGAAGCCCTCTTTCTTGCACACCATGGCGTGATCGACGTCATAGGAAGAGCAACACACGCATTGGGAGGGCAAACCTTCTACTGGCCTACCGTACTACAACAACTACAACTACTACTACTACTACAACAACTACTACTACTACAACTACTACAACAACTACTACTACTACTACGTAAAAACACCTACAAGAAAAATTCAAGAACTGTATATCACACACACACACATACACACACACAAGTCTGACAGGAACTTAACACATCAAAGAAGGTATATGACAAAAAAAAACTTATTCCTATTTTAAAAGACTGTGGGGAAACTAGCCACGGTAACACACACACACACACACACACACACACACACACACACACACACACACACACACACAGGGCTCATCCTGATACGAAAGAGCTGTGAGAGGAGGAGGAGGAGGGGGGGAGTCAGGAGAAGGCTCTATTGAATACTATCTCAAGAGGGGAGAGATATCCTCACTATCTCTCAGTCTCCTCTCTCGTGTGAGATGTAAGTAAGACACGACTCACAAGACACCCAGAGAAAGAAGTTGATGGTGTGTACAGTTGCAGATAAAATTCTCTCAACACTTGGCAATATCTTGGTTGCAACATCTGGATAAAAATAAGTTGCAATATCAAGATAAATATACGTTGCAACAGTACATACATACATACATACATACATACATACATACATACATACATACATACATACATACATACATACATAATACATACATATACATACATACATACATACATACATACATACATACATACATACATACATACATACATACATACATACATATAGTCTACGAATTTCATTTTTCTGTGTCTGTCTGTGTGGGGTTTTTTATGACTGTCTGTATGTCTGCTTATCTGTCTATCTGCCTTTATATCTCTGTCTCTCTCTATCTATCTCCCTCTGTCTCTCTCTTTCTTTAATTAGTCAAACGAGTATTAATAATATAAAAATAATCAAGAGAATAATAAAAATAATTACAACTCAAACAAGTAATCAAGAGTAATCAAGCCTGAGGCGAGAAAACAACTTTGCTTGATTGAAAAGAAAAAGAGTCAACAACACCAGGTCGAAGGCAAAACAAATTTACAGGATCTGGTTGAAAAAATCCTACGTGCCCTAAATCCTACATAAATAAATCCTACGTGCCCTAAATCCTACAAGTCCTAAATCCAAAGCGTCTTCATATTCCCGAGAGACAACCAGTACCACAAGAGGATGACATATTAACGTGATTTGTTAGTATTATGTGTGTGTGTGTGTGTGTGTGTGTGTGTGTGTGTGTGTGTGTATGTGTGTGTGTGTGTGTGTGTGTGTGTGTGTGTGTGTGTGTGTGTGTGTATGTGTGTGTGTCTGTATTCTCTCTCTCTCTCTCTCTCTCTGGACGACGCCTACACAAGCCAGGAGGAAGTTGAAGCTTATGAGTTATATTTAGTCGATGCAAGTGACTCTCTGGGGCTATCTATCTATCTATCTATCAATCTATCTATCTATCTATCTATCTATCTATCTATCTGTATGTATGTGTGACTGTGTAAGTGTGAATGTGAGTGCAAGAGTAAGTGTGAATGTAAGTGTGTGTCAGTGTAACTATGGTGTGGTGTATAAGTGTGAGTGTAAGTGTGAGTGTGGGTGTAAGTGTGGGTGTAAGTGTGAGTGTGGGTGTGAGTGTGGGTGTAAGTGTGAGGTGTGGGTGTAAGTGTGGTGGGTGTAAGTGTGGGTGTAGGGTGAGTGTGGGTGTAAGTGTGAGGTGTGAGGTGTAAGTGTGGGTGTAAGTGTGGGTGTAGGGTGTGGTGTGGGTGTGAGTGTGGGTGTGATGTGGGTGTAAGTGTGAGTGTGGGTGTAAGTGTGAGTGTGGGTGTAAGTGTGAGTGTGGGTGTAGGGTGTGAGTGTGGGTGTAGGGTGTGAGGTGTGGGTGTAGTGTGGGTGTAGAGTGTGAGTGTGGGTGTGAGTGTGAGTGTGGGTGTAAGTGTGAGTGTGTGGGTGTGAGTGTGGGTGTAGTGTGTGTGAGTGTGGGTGTGATTGTGGGTGTAAGTGTGAGTGTGGGTGTAAGTGTGAGTGTGGGTGTGAGTGTGGGTGTAAGTGTGTGATTGTGGGTGTAGAGTGTGAGGTATAGGGTGTGGTGTGGGTGTAAGGGGTGTGAGTGTGGGTGGAGTGTGGGTGTAAGTGTGAGGTGTGGGTGTGAGGTGTGGGTGTAAGTGTGGGTGTAGAGGTGTGGGTGTAAGTGTGTGGTGTGGGGTGTGAGTGTGGGTGTAAGTGTGAGTGTGGGTGTAGTGTGGGTGTAAGTGTGGGTGTAAGTGTGGGTGTGGGTGTGAGTGTGGGTGTGGAGGTGTGGGTGGAGTGTGAGGTGTGGGTGTGGGTGTAAGTGTGAGTGTGGGTGTAAGTGTGGGTGTGGTGGGTGTGAGTGTGGGTGTAAGTGTGTGGGTGTGGGTGTGAGTGTGGGTGTGAGTGTGGGTGTAAGTGTGGGTGTGGGTGTGGGTGTATTCAAGGACTTCACTTACCTCGTCAAGCAAGAAAATCAATCCGTGTGGTGGCTGACGTGCCCATGACTGTGTGGATAGATAGATAGATAGATAGATATGGAAGAGAAGAGAGAGAGAGTGATGGGTCCTTCCTCCTTGACACTATCCATTAACTACACCGTCAACACCTTTGTACCTCACCTGCTGTACTCTCTCTCTCTCTCTCTCTCTCTCTCTCTCTCTGCCTTCTGGCCTATAATAATCACTGGCTCTTTTTCATTTAATTCTCATAATCTGTCTGTGTGTCTGTCTACCTGTCTGTCTGTCTGTCTTTTTAACTCAGACTGTCTTTCTTTTTCTCAACACACTAATCCACACCCACAACTCCCACCTACACACACACACACACACACACACACACACACACACACACACACTTCTCAAGGCCACTATGCTAAAAGAAATAGATAAGACATAACAAAAATAATGCCGAATATAGAACACAAGGAGGGAGGGAAAGGAGAGGAGGGAGGAAGGAGGAGGGAGAGACGGAGGGAAGGAGGAGGGAAGGAGGAAGGAGGGAGGAAAATAACAAGCAATCCAGGTAACCACGCTACTAATTATCTAGGTATAACGATCTAACAAAACACTTAACTATTCATCAAAAAATAGTCTAACACCTAACTAATTATCTAAAGTAACTATCTAACACTAACTAATTATCTAAAGTAACTATCTAACACTTAACTAATTATCTAAAGTAACTATCTAACACTTAACTAATTATCTAAAGAAATTATCTAATTAATTATATATCTATCAAAATGTATCTGTATCGACATTTTAACTGGAGTCTTTTAAGGTTTGCAGCAGAGGTGAGGTGAGGTGAGGTGAGGTGAAGTGAGGTGAGGTGAGGTGAGGTGAGGTGAAGTGAGGTGAGGTGAGGTGAGCTGTTGAGGTGAGGTGTTGAGGGTGTGGATATAATGCACCGCCCGGACGTGAGTGAGTAGGTGTCTGACTCGAGTGCAATTGTTGTTAGTCATTACTGAACACTGACCCTCAACACGTGAGACTAAACGAACGAGTGATCCTGTGAACGAGAATAAGTGGTTGTTTTGGGTTTTCTTTCTTTCTTTCTTTCTTTCTTTCTTGTTTATTGGCATTGTTTTCTCCTCCTCTTCTTCTTTATCAATGTCTTCTTCTTCTTCTTCTTTTTCTAATATCGCCTCCTGCACCTCCTCCTCTTCCTCCACTTCCTATTCCTCCTCCTCTTCCTACTGCCACATCCTCCTCCTCCTTCTCATTGGCCAATCGACGCCAACAACCTCCCAATCAGCAAGAACTCCCAAGGTCACCACTGACCAAACACACAGGGGGGTTCTTCTAGCCTTGATTGTTGACCTGAACCATATACGTGAGTCTTAATCTCTCTCCTCTCTCTCTCTCTCTCTCTCTCTCTCTCTCTCTCTCTCTCTCTCCTTTCTCTCTTTCTCTTAGAATACACACACTTTCTCTCTCTCTCTCTCTCTCCCTCCCTCTCTCTCTTTCTGTCTTTCTCTCTCTCTCTCTCTGTTTATCAGGGTCTCCGTGT